TGTGTGTGTGTGTGTGTGTAAGTGTGGAGTTCAGAGGACAACGTTTGGGTTTCTGTTCTCTTCTTCCGCCATGTGAGTTCCAGGGATTGAACTTAGGTCAACAGTCTTGGTGACAAACACCTTTACCTGCTGAGCCGTCTCACTGGCCCAAGTAGTCATTTACAAGGTGAATCAGAAATGAAATTTTTCTTTCTGTTTCTTTTTAGGTTTTAAAGTGTAGGTATTACTATCAATAAAAGAGCTCTGGCTGGCAGAAAGAAGGATGTATCGGAAATTACTCATGTGATCTCCATGAAACTAATGACTATATTTCCATTAACTGGACCAAGAGTTCTGCACTGGGGTAGGCATTTCACTTACCTTCTTGGGATATTTTATTATTTCAATGAGAAATGGAGCAACTTGGATATTTAGGAAACCAATCATTTTTTCCAATAGTTTTTATTTCTAGGTCATGTTTATATTTCTAAATGTCCCTGTGTAGCTAAGAGGGCCAAAGCACCAAGAATAAGTTTGAGGCTATGTAAGGAAGGCTTTGGAACAGTTTATGCCTGAGAGGAACTGGAGTTCTTGTGAAAGAAGATTAACAAGAGAAGAAGACAAACCAAAGAGAAGACTCATTAGCCATACTCTGAAATGCGGATCCAATCATGATTCTGTGGATTTCCTCAGTTTAAAATGCAAATATCAAATATAAGTTGGTTGATAATAGGCAAAATTTAGCACAGGAGCTGAAGGATGGACTCCACGTAGGAAAAGAAGAATCAAGATAGTCGTCTCTAGATAAAAATGACATAGTAGTTGTCACTGAAATCTTTTCCATATAAAATATAATTTCTAGCCTTATCAAAGACCTTATTCTTACCATTTGATAACAGTTTGGGGCTGAGGATGTAAGGAGGTTGGTAGAGTGCTTGCCTGGCATGTATGAGGCCTGTGTTGATCCCAGAACCCCATAAACTGGGTGTGGTGGGTGCTGTCTGTCATCCTAGCCATCAAGAGGTGGAGGCAGAAGATCTGAAGGTCAAGGTCAAGGTCATTCTTGACTACACAGGGAGGTCTGCCTGGGCTACATGAGACTTTGTCTCTAAAATAATAAACGGGAGCTGGAAAGGTGGCTCAGTGGTTAAGAGAACTGGCTATACTTCCCGAGGTTCTGGGTTCAATTCCCAGCAACTCACTTGGAGGCTCACAAATGTCTTGAACTCCAGTTCCAGAGAATTAGATGCCCTCTTCTGACCCCCAAGGCCACAGCATCCATGTGATACACTGATATCTATGTAGGCAGAACACCCATCGGCATAAAAATAAATACATCTTTAAAAGAAATCAGTAAGTATCATGAAGAAGTTGACATTCACAAACAAGTTATCAGGTAGCCACTATTTCTTCCTCGATTTTCAGATTAGACTGTTGAGGCTCACAGAAACTGACTTGCGCAGCTAGACTGAGTGGAAACGGTAGTTTCTGGTTCAATCCAGACCAACTTGATCACCAGTGTCATGGGTCTGTTGAGGGAGTGTGACATTTCCTGATAGTTTAAAAATTATTATGTTATTGTGGGTATGCATGTGTATATGTGTGTACACTCGTGCCGTGGCACATGTGGAGGCCAGGGATCAACGTTATGGAGTCTATTCTCTCCCTCCACTTTTCTTGGGTTCTGGGAGTCAAACTTAGTGTGGCTTTCATGGCAAGTCTCTTTACCTGTTGAGCTGTCTTAGGGTGCCCTGACGGACGCTTTTGAGACCGAGATTCCCCCCTGGGGTCTACATCAATTCCTTCTTCCTGTTGAAGCCTGGAGGAGGCTGAGTATAGTCACAATGGCTGGGAAGCCCCATGGCTTCATCTGAAAATACATTGGTGACACACTCCTTGAGAAGCAGCATCCTCGGTAGGAAGGCAAATGCTGGCTGCCTCCCGACCTTTCTGTTCTCTCAGCTTGGGGTTTGGTTTCAAAGACAGAGTTATCATTTCCTCTCGACCCTCACAGTACCTCAGAGAGACTGTGGCCAGGTAACAAAGGATGTGTTTGACCCAGGTAGGAAGTGATACTCCCTCATGGTATGGGATTTGTTTTACATCATCCAGCAGCAGAGGTGGAACAAAGGCCAGGTAGAAAGGGACTCTATATGTCCACCTTGTCTGGTGACACCGTTGAAAGACAGCTCTGGAAAGAACACTGGTTCCACTGACTCTGCCTGAAAACTCAACCTGCTCCGTAAGTGACTCTCAGCACTCATATTAAACTGTATTTAAGTGAGTAGAACGTCCACTTCAAAGCTAATGCTAGACCAGTAGGAAAAGCATGCAAATGAATGCATTCACCCACTTCCAGCTTTCCTTAGCTGTATTACAAAAGGATCACTCACAAAGTCTGTATTTGTTTGGCTTTGTGAAGATCTTGGTTTGGTTGCACTATGGATTTCTTGATCTGCTAGCTGGAAGTGTGTTTGTGCTTTGCGTTTTATTCTTAGGAAATTGGTGACCGTTTTGCCGTGTGAAGTCACCAGCCTATTTGTTGATGCTATTTGGGAAAACAGTCAAGAGAGGTGGGAGGAGGTCTAGCTTTCCACAGAAGCGCTCTGGCGGATCTCTTCTGGGCATCAGAGTCGAGCCTCTCCCAGTTCAAGTCAATGGGTGGGACTGAGATTGGTACTTCCGGGGGGAGTGAGGCTCTTCTTGATGGTCACGGGGAGTATGGGCTGCAGAAAGAAGGCGTGAAGGTACCCTCCCGTGCCACTCAATGTGCCTAAGCCACCAGCATCCTTTGCCTGGGCTTCTGGAAGCTCTCCTCCCTGGATCTCCTCCTCCGGTCCCTTCTCTAAAGCATCTAGGGCAGTGGTTCTCAACCTTCCTAATGCTGTGGCCCTTTAATACAGTTTCTCATGTTGTGGTGACCCCCCAACCATATTATTTCATTGCTGCTACTATATAACTATAATTTTGCTACTGTTATAAACTGTAATGTAAGTGTCTGATATGCAGGCTATCTGATATATGCCCCCTGTGAAAGGGTTGTTCAATACCCCCGAAGGAGTCATGACCCACGGGTTGAGAACCATGTGTCTGGAGGGGGTTAAAAATGCAAATCCGATTGCTTCTCCGCCATGCATGAAAAGCTTTGATGCTCTCTCTGGCCCTTCCTCTTAGGTTACCATCTCAGTCTCTTGACAAGATTTGCAAAGTCCAGCTGTAACGGCTTTGTCTTCAGTGGCCATTCTGGAACGTTCCAGAATTTTCATAGGAGGAGCTTGGAGGCAGCGTCTGGGTGGAGGAGGTTGCTGGGGTAGCTAGCATGGGGAGGGAATGATGAGGATTGCACGGGACTCACACCTGTTCGCTCCCCAGCTACCGTCTGACATGCAGCCTTCCTCCTCCTCGCTCTGCCTGGCAACTGTATGCCACGCTCTCAGTTCCTCCGGCAGCGCGCTGTGCCTCCTCCTTTTCTTCTGGGTCTTTCTACAAAGGACCCTTACCCAGGATCCGTCTCTCCCTCTGCAGATAACTGACTTCTTCAGCTGCCAGCTCTTTCGCGCCCAGTCAGGCCCTCTGCTACTTCCTGGTTCTAGCTTCTTACCATCTACTCTGCCGTCTCCCTCCTCTATCACCCTCTTCTTATCCGTCAGCTCTTCTCTGTGCTCAAATTAGCCAAACACAGCGTCCTCTGGACCCCCATGTTCTTTGCGATTCCCTCTGGTCCCCTTTAGGACACCCCCCCCCCAAGCGCTGAGCACCCATATCTTCAGATTCTGAACTGCAGCTGTCTTGGAAGCGGCTTGAAGATTAAATGTAATTTTCTGTTTCCTCCCAGGTCTCCAGAGCCTTTACAGCAGCCAGTGTTCAGTATAAGCATGTGGACGGACAGAATCCGCACCGTGGGGTCTTCTGCACAGCAGGAGAAGCTTGCCGCTTATGGAGCAGTTGTTAGACGCTCGCGCGAAGTGGGCAGCATCCGGGATTCTGAAGTCAGCCTCTGACGAACTTCTCAGGGACTGTGTGAGTGAGATGAATTTCTTCTGTCGGTTAAGGCCCAGGCTCCCAGACCCAGCCACGCTTTAGAGTCTCCTGAGGTTTTCAGAAAGCACAGATGCCGGCATCCCAAGCAGTGATCCGAGGTCAGGCTCCAGGGGATTTGTTGGCAGAGGCGTGGAGTAGGCGTGGAGTTGGGGGCTAATGGCGCCACTCCAGGACTGCTGTATGATTTTCAATGTTTCAGCCTGAACTTCTAGGTTATTTTTCCTTCAAGCGAAGACAAGGTCTTTGTGATGGGGAGTGTCCTTGACGTGACTTTGCGTTAGTCTCACAACAAAAATTCATAAATAAAAAAAACACTGAAAAGTTCCTTCCTCTCTTCATTCCCTGCACAAGGCAAATATGTGCATGTGTGTATGCATGCTATGTGCATGCTCATGTGTATGTGTGTGTGCCTGTGTGGGCATATACATGTACACATATGCGGGCATGTACATGTACACATATGCACATGCAAGCATAAATGTATTTGTTCTCATATACATATACTATTATATATGTCATGTGCATGCATATATGCACATGTGCATATTCCCTTATATATCTGCATGCATGCATATGTACAAAGGTATATATATAGTGTGCATAGATGTGTATATATATATATATGCATCTGTGCATAGATGTGTGTATACCATGATAAATAAGAGTGTATGGATATACACACAGATGCATACAGTTATGTATATGTATATGAATATATAAGAATGCATATATTCACAAACATATTTATGACATCTGTGCATACGTATGTGCCATTATGTATGTGCACATGAATGCATGTATACACAAGTATACACATACACATGCAAGTGTATAAACATATATAATATGCATGCACATGTGTGTACCCATGAATGTATACATGCATATGTATGTGTGCACATATATTTGTCATTATATGTGTGTATATGTGTATGTCTGCATATGAATGTCATGATATATGTGCATATATAATGTGCCATATAGTTATGTATATGCATATGTATGTATATATGCATATTTATACTGTTTGTTATACATGTTCATGTGGATAAATGTACACGGGACTGAATACATGCACATGTATGTGTGCATATGCATATATGTACATGTGCCTGTATGTGTGTATCTGTATATGATTATGTGTATGCATATATGTATATGTGTGCATGCTTATGCTGTTATATATGTGCATGTAAATGTATGTTCACATGACTGAAGACACACATATGAATATGTGTGTATATATGCCATTATATCAGGCATGTGTATTTATGTGTGTGTGTGTGCGCGTGCGTGCGAGCGTGCGTGCGTGCGTGCATGTGCACAAAGATACTTGGTACTAACACGGTAAGAAGGACCAGTCAATTACCTGGATAAGGCGCACAGGGTTCTGCATGATGTCCTCACCTCCAAAAAGATAGAGCCTTTGGTCCTTCACTGCAACAGCGGGATGGAGCACGGCCACGGGCATGTCAGCCATGCTCTCCCAGACGTCACGGATGCTGTCATACCTCTCCATGGACCCCAGGAGCTCCTGCCCTTCTCCAGTGCCCCCGATGGAGAAGATGAAGTTCCTGTGGCTGGTGCTCCTGTGGGAGTAGCGGGCTGCCAGCATGGGCTCCCCCGGCCTCCACTGGTTGAGTTTCAGAGAGAAGACATAGACTCCGCGGCTGAGGAGACTCTTGCCCTCGCTGACAGCCATGCCCCCGAGCACATACACACTGCGGTGCAAGGTGACAGCCGAGGCCTTGTACAGCCGGGCAGGGAGTTTGGCCAGGCTCTGCCACCGGCCAGTCTGTAGGCTGTAGAGCAAGACATCCCTGGTGGTCTGCTGGTTGTCCTTCCGGCCCCCCAGGAGGAGGAGGAAGTCTTGGTAGGAGCTCCTTGGGGGGATATGCCACAGGAGTTTGCAGTCCTGGGCACTGGGACCATACGAGGAGAAGATCTGCCTCCCGGCCACCTCCAGGATGGCCTGGCATGCAGGCGAGGACTGGAGGAGGGCGTCGTTGGCGATGAAGTGGTGGAAGAAGGCTGGGTGGATGTACGGCAGGCGGACCTGCTCCAGCAGCCCCTGCAGGTACGGCCACCGGGCCTTGAGGTCATGCTTGACCCAGGCCATGAGGGCCTCGAACACCGTTTCCTCCTCTCCGCAGAGCCTGTCATCTCCTAGGTAGCCTCTCAGCTCCACGGCACAGAGCTCCTTCAGGTCAGCCGAGGCCGCCACCTCTGGGAAGCGAGTCAGGGCCACCTCCCTGGCTTTCTTCTTCAGGCTTTCGCAGCTTAAGACTTCTGCGAGTCTGACCAGGCCCAGGCAGTTGCTGGGGTCCAGCTGACTCTGCAGGTATGATGAGCAGGCCTCAAACACCCTGGGGTACTGCAGCATGGCAGCCGCCTCCATCAGCGGGAGGACATTGGCCGCGGAGATGTGCACCTCTCCCGTGTATGCGTACGTGATGACCTGCTCGAGGGTGGTGGCGCTGATGCCTTTCAACTGTACCTTGGCCTCTCTGCTCTCCCGGAAGTGGCTGCAAAACATGGCCTTGAAGTAGGGGCTGCTGGAGGCCAGCACGTTGCGGTGGCAAGGGACCTCCCAGGCTCCGGAGCAGATGCTCACATCAGTCAGGAACTTGCTTTGCCTTAAGCCATTGAGCTGTCTCAACAAGTCAGAGGAGAAGTCGTGGTCTTTGAAGACAACCCCATCTGGTGACTCCTCATCCATCCTACAAAGAAGGAGGGAAGCCCCAAATGGAAGCAAGGTCAAGGCTTTCTGGCGGTGTCTACCGAAGGGGTTAGCTGTGGGGGCTCCAAGCCTCATTCTCCACTCATTTCCCACCACTATCTATTTTCCAAGTCCGTGGGCTCACAAACAGAGCACACTGAAGGCAGAAGAGGGAACCATCCTCACCCCAGACCACAAAGTGATCTACTTCAGACTGTGATTATCCTCAGAGATAAGAGACACATAGCATCTCCAGCAAATTTTAGGCATCTTTCACCTAAAGTTGATGGCCAGGGACTCACAGATTAGCCCGACACAAGAAAACAGTCCATGCATTTGGCAAGAAATATTTGCCTTTGTCCAGATCCTCAGCAGATTTGTCAGTAAATTCATCTATGAATCCCTTTCTGGGGGTGAGTTCTTCCCCAAGGCTGACATTCTGGGGGTGTGGTCTTCTGGTCACTGGACAGAAGTGAGGGGTCACAGTGGGCTGTTGCGAGATCTAGAGAGAAGGCTGCATGGTCTTTGGGCTTTGTTTTAAATATATAATTTATAGGGAACAAGGACCAAACACTTCTGTGGTTCTTTGGTGGCACAGGCAGTCTGCCTGCCGAGGAATGAAGTGTTAGGGACACTTACCTTGTTTGGCTGCAGTGACATCCACAGATGCTGGGTCTGTCTCGTCCCTTCAGGAGGTTTCTACCTTAGGCTCTGAATAAAATTTTTCCTTCTATTGGCAAATGCTCTGTCCTAGGAGAGTTCTGGATTTGTTTATGCTGCAGGCACTTTCACGGCTCTAGAGCGCTGTGCGAGGGCTGCCGGGCAGGCAGACAGTGTATACATTCCAAGCCTAAGAATAGCTGCATATGTACTTTCCAATGTTATGACATGTGACTTTCCAGTTGCCTTTTGCAGCCACCCCAGGGCCCGCAGGGCTGCGCATGCCCACATGCCTTGTTTCCCTGGCGAGTGTTTACACCGGCATAAATAGAAAGGGAGGAACGAATTCTCTGACCAAGGCTTTGCTGTCCATTTGGACGCATCCCGAGTCCCTTGTCCTGAGAGCGCCTTGGAACTCTAGCTGTCTGTAAACAGGTTGCTGTGACCTGTGCAGCATCACGGAAGACAGCTCCTGCTCACAGTACAGGTGGCAGATGGCCATAGGAGAGGCAGAGAATGGATGGGAGCCTGGGTGCTATTCAGTAGGTGTTCACCCACCACCTCCTGCCTGGCAGGATTGCTGTCAGGGCTGTAGTTTCCCTTCCAGGCCCAAGGCAAAGGAATCCAGAGCAAAGGCTGTAGTTTTCTTTTTTCAATTTGTCAGGCATTCTGGAGTTTTCTAGACTTGTGAAAGTCCTGACTATAATTGAGCCTTCTGTCTCTATGGTTCTCTCTCTCTCTCTCTCTCTCTCTCTCTCTCTCTCTCTCTCTCTCTCCTTGTGTGGGTGCATGCTCTGACTTGTAATAGCTGTTTCTCCCTGTCACCTGCCCCTTCTGGACATCTGGCAGCTGCTCTTCACCTGGGCTCTCTCAGACCCCAGACTTCCTTTTCTGTCTCCTCTCACCAGAGGGACGTGAGTTCGAAGCAGGAGGCAAGGCACATTGGTCCAGGGAGAAAGAGAACAATGAAGAATAGGATGAGGAGAAAGAAGAAGAAAAACAGGAGGAGGAGGGATAGAGGATAGTGAAGAGGAGAGAAGAAGGGAGGGTGGAGAAAGAAGGAAGAGGAAGAGAGCAAGAGGGAGGGGGAAGAGAAGATGAGAAGGAGGATATGGAGGAGGAAGAGAGGGAAGAGATACGGAGGAAGGGAGGGAGGAGGAAGAGAAGACAAGTTGGAGGGAGACAGAGAGAGACAGAAGGAAGAAGAGGATGAGGGGAGAGAAAAGGCAATATGGAGAGAAAGAGGGTAGGAAGAAAAGGAGGGGGAGGAAGAGGCGGACACGAAGGAAGGAGAGAAGTCCTGGCGGTGAGGGTGATGATGACGGTGACGGGGCAGGAGGCAGTCAGGTCCACTGTGATGAGCTTCCAAACACCGGAAGGATTGGGGGGAGGTATCGCCTCTCTCCTCACTGCTGGCCATTACTGCTCTGGCCATGTGTGGCAGCGAGGTCTCACTTCCTCTCCCCACACTGCTCAGACTTTCGCAGCAGCCTCTCGGGCTGGTTTTAGCCCTTGTTTGTAGTACCACCTCTACCATGTTACCACCGGGTAACCTGCCAGGCTCCAAAGCACAGCGCCGCTGGCTCTCCGTGTCAGAAGTGCTTCTTAGCAGGAGTCAGGTTGGTCTCTGGTTCTTTCATGTCTCCCACTTACGTGTTTTTATACTTGCTCCAGTAGACAATTTATAGATCCATGTACATGTCTGTCAGTGTCTCTGTTTGGGGCCTGGCTTTTAGGGGTACTCAGGGCCAGGGTAGAAGGAGTGTTCTCACTCTGTTATAGGTCACGCCCTCAAAGAATTCAGGTGGCCAAGGTCACGGCGTACATCCAAGAGACCAGGAGTAGTAGCAGCAGAGAGCCTATGCCAAAGGGGTCAGGACCCAAGAGACAGAGTGAAGGTTAGAGCTGAGGGCAGGGTGGGGGGGTGCTGCTTACTCCCTGGCTTCTGAGCCACGTACGATGATGTGTGATCAGGTGCAACTCTCAAAGGGGCCTGGGGACCCTCTGCTCCGTCCTCGGTGCTTTCATATGCATCCTTCGCCCGGCCCCCTCTCCTCTTCTCACTGCTCCCATCCATCCTTCAACCTACAGTCTGCGCGCCAGCTTTTCTGAAATTCTTCCCTGTCTGCACTGTCCTCACGCCTTCTGCACCTGGGAACAGCTGTGCCTCAGACTTCACGGCAGTCTGCTGGTCCACCTGTGTCCCTCCCCTCAGGGTGGAATCTCTGAAGGCAGAAAGCCTGATCTCGCCCCTCCCCCTCCCCAGAGTCCAGTGCAGGATGTGGCGTCTAGTGGGTGGGTTCTGTTCCGTTCCTGAACTGAGCGGGACTGAACAGAAGCAGGATGGAGAACAGGGGAGAGGGGAGCCCCCTGGAGAGTGTGAGGGTTAGCACTTGCAGCTTGTGTGTAGACAGCAATGTGACCCCGATGCCCTTTACTTTAATCAAATCCAATGATGCCGATAATGTGATACACTGGAGAGTCAAATAATCGCTGTGTATAATAGAATGAAAGTTGAATGTGGGTTAAGGCCAGGACTTTGGAAGCTTGAACAACGGAAACATCGCTTCCTCAGGGCTTTGGATGCCTGCATCACAGTTCTTCCAGCTGCTGAGCAAGCCGAGGATGTTCTGAGGGCAAGGAGCAGAGTGAATTTACTCAGCACTGGCCCCTGGAAAGGCTCCTCGGATTTCCCCTGCACCTTCTAATTAGCTAGGCCTTCCAGAACCCGTCCTGTCAAGTGTTTGGATGAGCCTGGGTATATATGGACGGTGTCTGACCAGCTACAATAAATCTTTTAGTTTCTAACACTTAGGAAAAAGCAAGCTCTATTCTGTCAGCCTGGCCAAGTCAAATTTGGGAAAAGACACAGAGCTGAGCTGTTTAACACATAGCAAACACACACACACACACACACACACACACACACACACACACACACACACACACACGAGTTTTCCCCCACCCACGAGTAATCTCAGCCAACTAGTTCATACATCAGTTTCTCTCTGACAACTTTTTCCTTTTTGTCTTAAATTTCCTTGAGAAGATATCTTAGTTTGGGGTTTGAGCATATGGTGACCCAAAATAAATGAGGACACCCAGCTCTGTGTCCTTCCTGAGGAAAGCCAGTGTCACAGTGAATCAAGGCCTAGATTTGGGGAGCAGGAGGGCTGGGGACCATCTTCTCACAGAATCCATGCAATCTCGGGCATATTATTTATGTTCTTCCAGCCTTGACTTCCCATGTGTTAAATGGGGCTCGGCATCCCTGTCACACACCAGTTACATGTGTGTAGTGCTGGCAATGTACCCGGCCTAATTAATATTATCTTATTGTTCTGAAGATAATATTACCAGAGTCTGGCAGATCACGGTGTCTGGCTTGCAGTTATGATTTGGTTTTCTGTTCACTGGAGCTGTTTATTTCAGTCCTGAGCAAAGAATCGATATGTTGCTCATCCTCTAGAGACTCAGCCTTTGGGGGTCTTGGAGTCTAGTCAGAGCTCTGTCATGAACTGGTTGCACGTCACTTGTAACTGGTAAGTCACAAGTCTCTGTATCCTTTTCCCCATCTGGCCTTGAAGGTGTGAACCCTGACCCTTCCAGCTTGAGCCGCTATGGTTTGTGCTTCAAGAATCCTCTTCGAGGTGAGGTACAGAAAAGGAACGGTGAAAGGCTGAGCCTCAGTGCTGAGGCCTCATCGGAGTTCTGGCTCCTCTCTGGCCCGAAGCCAAGGGTAGAGCAGAATGTCAGCCAGTCAGTGCCTTTTATAACCGTGCCCTTCTAAGTGAATCCAGGAGGCCTTTGCTTCCTGGTAGACTTCTGTACTGACTCTGGAGGGCTTTCTTTCTCATCTGTGTGTGCAGGGACTGGATTCCTGTGGGAAGGGTAGGCCAGTGCACCATCAGTAGGCTTTACTACTAGGACCTAGAACCAAGCAAGTACATACACGTACACATATGACCACAGGGACATGCATACATGTGCATACATGTACATATGTATATACACATGCACATGCCCTCTGGGTGTGTGCCATGCCTGCCTTTGGAGAACCCTGGTGGCAGTGACTTCAGGGAACTGTGGCTTTAGGACAGGCATTCTGCATGTGAAGACATTCACAGCAGCTACCCTCGCTGGAAGGGTGCTCCCAAGCGGTATTAGGGCACTTCCTGGTTCCACTAAGGGCAAGGAGAGGAGAGATGTGATGAGCAGATGTGGAGGCTTTGGACAACTGGACCTATAAGAGCTGCAGGATGAAACCTACCTTGCAGTGTGAGGCCAGCCACCCATAGCCACGGGTTCCACTCTGTGGGCCAACCACCTGCCATTAAAACACTGAGGAACAATTGCAGCTGTATTCACAGGGTGTGTGCGTATTTCTTCTCAAAGGCTGTGTGCAAATACTGCACAACTGTGTCTGAGGGACCTGAGCATTGGTGGATGTTGATATCCAGAAGGTCCTAGAACCAATCCCTAGCAGGTCCTGAGGGATGGCTATGTATGTAAGTCTGTCTATAGTAGTCTGTATTTCTCGTGCTCTGATTTGTTTTATACCTCCCAGCTTGTGGCAAGTTGAACAAGGACTTTGTAGTCACAACAATAGCTAAAGGAGAATATGTTCCTTGATCAGGGACATATTCTCTATGCATGCATGCACCCACACATCCATCCTTGACTCCTGTCCTCCGGGATCAAAGACCTGGTGTTGCTGTCACCGGCCCCAACTCTTCCTCCACGCCTCTCTCCTATTGCCAGAAATGGCTTCATATTTCCCTCCATGTGGAGGACAAGGGGAGAAAAGACTCAGAGAGATGACTTCAGCTCTGTGCGCAGACGTTATAGCCCGTACGCCTGGACCCATTCTTCTTGTAAACTGAAGTCTGACCTCACACATCTCTTATGCCACAGGACAGCTCTCCTGGCTTCCATTAAGGCAGCAAAGAAGAACGCACGTAAGCAAGGATGTGTCTTAAACTCTCCTGGCTTAGCTCTGTGAATAGAACGTGAAACATGCTGCTTGGGCTCTCTGTCTCCCACCAGGTACCCCCAGTGGTAAGACAGACACTTAGGCAGGTAAACTGCTTTCCTGCCAGTCGGCTCTTTACTCTCATGAGACTGAAGGCAAATGGCCTGAAAAAGAGGTCTGACTTGGAAAGTGAACTTTCTGATCTTAGAAATAGGATTA